ATTCTAAAAGGAAAGCACTGCCCTGTGCCATCTACCTATAACTAGATTGCGTTGTCCTGGAAGATAAATTTCCAAGTTTACTTTTGTTCCCAAGCCACTGGAATAAAGGTCACTGAAGAGGTAAATGCAATACGCATATTACTCTTGCAGTTCCCACAGACATAAAAGATATATGGAAGCAGATGTGTTAAAATGGAACCAGCTATAAATTATGGTCAAATGATTTTTTTTTTTTAGTTCGATGGGGGAGAAAAGCAAAACTCTGTAACTGTTCCTCACCAGACAAGAGCCTTAGATCTTGTGCTTCGGCCTTTGGTTTTGTTTCCTTCAGGTGAATTAGAAGCAATTGCCTTATGAGTTTTCTTATGATGTTCAAGATAAGTCTTTTTGGCAAATGCCTTTCCACATTTATTGCATCTGTGAAGAGAAAAGTTTTTTGTGACTTTGACTTCAATACCAACATCAGCTACTTCGTACTTTTTACTAGGAGAGTTAGAAGTGCCATCGTGTTTTGAATCACTATGTTTTCCTTCGTCCCTCGAAGGACCTCTTTTTGCCACTTTGTTTAGAACAAAATCAATGGGCTTTTTTATAGCTCTGATCTCTAAGCTGGCTGTTATTTTCCCAAGGTAGCGGGAAGACTTTTTATGAACCACAGTTATGTGTCGTATCACATCACGCTTCCGACGAGTCTCGTAAGTGCAAAGGGGACACTTGTAGAATTTAACATAAATGTTATTTCCATCTGTGTGCAGCTCGATGTGTTTAGTCAAGTTCTGTTTGGAAGTAAACTGACGTTTACAAAGTTTACAGTAAAGTTGCTTAAAGTCAAAGCCAGCTGAAAGTTTTGGTTTCCTGGTTTTCTGCGGGCCACCTGCAGCAGCCGGACTGGTTGATTTAAGGCTTTCAGAGTCTTGTTTAACTTTATTTTTCTGTGCTGCCGGTGTGTTCTTTTTTTCGTTTGAATGATTTGTCCCCTTTAATTCATTCTGTGGAGAATGGGTAATGGAAGGGGGTGAAGATTCTACAGAATCTGCTGGTTCAACTTTAACTTTTATTTCTGTACTGCTGGCAGCGTTATTAGGGCCTTTCTCTCTTTTAGAGTTTGTTCCAGAAAGAGTTATCTTGTGTACAATTTGCATATGTCTTTTAAGCATTATTTGTGAACTATAGTTCCTCTTGCAAAGGAGACATTTGCATGCAGTTAAACTGTATTCAGCCTTTGAAGATGACTTTTGTTTTCGAGTCTTAAAAGATTTTTTAGGAGAAACAGAATCAAGGAACAAAGGCTGCCCAGGCTTCGTCGCTATATCAGGAGTAATTGAATCCCTCCTTAGTCCTCTATGAACTTCATCAAAATGCCTCCTTACATTCGCTTTTGTAGCAAATGATTTACAGCACACTGGACAACTCCTACTTAATGGAATTAGAACATTTTTACTGCGTCCTTTAGAAGACTGCTTTGGATTCTTTCGTGTCTCAATGTACTTTTTGAGTTCTTCCATCTTTTTCTTGTGTACTTTTCGAATGTGACGACGGACACCTCGCCTGGAATTGAATTCTTTTCTACAAAGACAACATATCAACTGATGACCAAAATCAGAACTGTCAGAAGTTTCCACATCGGCCTGTGATTCCTGAGGTTGTTCATCAGATGCTGGTACAGCTTCATCTGCCATAACCTCGGCAGGAGGGGGCTCGACAGCTTCCACCTCTGTATCCGGGACTGGAGCGGTTTTAGCTGGTTCAGTGCTGGCTTCCTGCATTTGAACTTCCGTCTGTTCAGGAGTGCTGCTTGACTGTGTGACTTCGGTGGGATTATCAGGCCTTGAAATATACTGAAACACTGCATTCTGATTGGTCTCTATGGGTTCTAGCTTAATAATATATTCACGCTTGTCCACACTGGGATATATGGCTTCTAGGAGATCATTTATGGCTTGGCTCTGTTTATCATTTACATCAGGAAGGTCTGTTAAGGAAAAAACAACATTTTAATCTGAAATACTTGACCTACACTAGTCCACTAAAATTTTTAAATATAACCTTCAACCATAAAGTTTATTACATTACTGGTTCACATTCATTTTTATAACATCATTACCTGGTTTTTAACATTTTATGAAAAAAGTAGCATTAGACCGAAAACCAACCTCATTATTGTAGAGTCAGTTCCGATTCACTAAAGCCCTGGACAGAGTAGAACTGCCCACAGGGTTTCCCGGAATGTAATCATACCAGAAGGAGACTGTTGTACCCTTCCCCTATGGAGCAGCTGGTGGGCTCAAACCACTAACTTTCCAGTTAGAAACTCAGTACTTAACCGCCATGCTATTCAGACCGAAACCTAAGATTTGCTTTCATTTAAATTTTCATCATGGTATGCAAATGTTAAGAAAGCTAGATGCAATCTATAGAGCTACTTCCATTTCTAAGTGCTCTCAATCTTAAAGTAAGAATGTTTAGGGTCTCCTGAGCAATGAAACAATAATTTAGATTTTTACTCTGAAAGTTTTTAACTGGTAAAGAAAACTAAATTCTCATAAGCCAAGGCAGATAAAACATCATCAAGAATTTTACTGTACAAATAAATAATAATTCTTTTAGGGAGAGGGGGCATATATTGTTCCTATTAATTTTTATCTATAATAAATAGCTCAGCCTCATCATCTAAGGACAATCTGAACACTTTAGAGACATGAAAGAGTATAAAAAGACTAGAAGTAAAAAAAAAAAAAAAGACTAGAAGTAAAATTTCTAACAGAATATAAATTATTAACAGAAGGATGAACAAAAGTTATAAACTAAATTCAATTCTATACATACTTTCTTAACATAATAAAATCCTATTAAAATAGATTATCAAAGTATAACTAAATTTACTCCAAAATTAAACCTAGATTTGTTTACCTAGATCATACTTTCACTTGCTAGAGGCAAACAATTATTCCTATTTTGACAAAGGTGTCTAATACCAGTTAAACTTCCATACACAACTCTGAAATCTAGAGATACAAACCCAAATTTGCTATCTACTTAAAAGAAATGAATCATTATTGTTCTTACAGTTTATCATGCTTTGTTCTTCTTAAATAGGTAAAGCAGTTATCTATAAGAAGCACAAGACTTCCGGAGAAGTATTCCTTGAATGAATTTTACTAACAAAAGTAAATACTAACTCAGCAATCCATTTCTGTTTCCCTTCATAAGTGAATTCCCTAACTAAAAGATAACCAAGAATAGCTACAACAAATAAACTAGTCTAGTGTGCTTCAATTAAAAGGCTGTATCTGAAACGAATCTCTACAGACTTCCTTTACATTTACAACTCAAAAATAATACAAAGTACAGCAGGACAGTATAGTAAAATAGTAAGCTTCTAGACAAATATGAATTATTTGTATCATCTATAACCTAAAATAAGTATTAAACCACCTTCACATTGATAATTAATGCATTTTTTAATATATTTTGTATTTGCAGTTCCTCCCCAAAGCAAAAAAAGTGAAGTTACAAACTGCATAAAATCCACAGTGCAACTATCATATCAATAAGGCAAACAAGGGAACTCTTAAAAGTCTGCAATGAGTTAAATTCCTAGACAAAAAGAATGAAAGAAAGCTATTGGCTATTAAAATACTTCAATAAATCCACAGTAGTTCTTTAAAGCAAGAAGAAAATATCATTACATATACTGCTAGCTTAAGCACATAGAAACAATATATTCAACTCGGCAAACATCTGAGCTGTTGTTGTGACATGCATCAAGGGGAGTATGACCCAGTGACCCTATGAACAACAGCCTGCCCTAACCTGTGGCATCCTCACACTTCCTGACCATGCCAACCCACCTGGTTGAGGGTCTTCTTCTCCTTCGCCGACCCTCTATCTTTCCAGGTATCATGTCCCTCTCTAAGGAATAACCTCTCCTAGCAACATACCCAAAGTATGTGAGGCAAAGCCTCACCATCCTTGCCTCCAAAGAGCTCTCTGGCTGCACCTTCTCCACGACATATTTGTTTAGTCTTTTTGGCAGCTCATGGGATGTTCAGTATTCTTCTCCAAAACCACAGCTCAAAGGCATCAATAATTCTTCTGTCATTCTTATTCACTCTCATTGTCAACTATTATATTCATCATATATAGTCATTTTGGATCTCAGCCTGTGACACAATCTCATTTCTGATCTAAATAAAGTTCACTAAAAACTGATCCTCAAATTAAGATCCAGAAAAAAAACACTAGAAAGATTAATAAAGATTATGTAATGCTCTCTGCCATTCCTAATAAATAACTCAAAGACTCATCCTATACCCTGTACTTCCAAGCTTCTAATTTACTAAGGGAAATCTAAGTAAATAGCTACTATCTCGTAATAAATTGTTAAACAGAGGGGAAAACCATAAAATTGCTCCTTTTTTGTGGCATTAATATTTTTAACTTACAAATACCCTGAATAAAAACCCTATGTTCAAAGAAACAAACAAGATCAATACCCACTATAATATAATAGGAAAATCTAATAGAAGGATTGATACAAAAGTACCTATAGGAAACCAAACAGAACATTTGGGTCAAGTATTTAAATTTATTTTGTACCGCTAAATAGCCTGTAACCAGGTATGATAACATATTCATGTAAATCTCTAACTGTCGTGTAATAATAGTTACTGAAACAAACATTACTAAACATATGAATAAAACTTACTGTCATCCATCTGGAGACTTGGGGGGCAGTAGAATTTCTTATGGGTAATTAAATTTGGTAATCCTCTGAAAAGACTTCGGCATAATTTACATTCAAAAATAGTGTCCACATCTTTCAATAAAATATGTTTAAGCTGTCTGGTTCCTGAGGGGATAAAAAGAAAATGAAAGAGGACAGTTTAACACACAGTTTGAACTAGGCAACCAAGCTGATAAGCCGGCGGTCCAGTGATGCTTGATGAACAGCACGACACACTACGGAGACTACACCAGCAGAGAACCTTTGAAAAAGCACAATTATTCTTGAAAAACAAAGTCTAGGCAATGCCATCTTCTCTCACAGAATACAGAAAACTAAGTCATAAAGTAAGTGCTATGCAAAATTCTCCCATCCCGTTTCCGGCCTCAGAAAACTCACTAGAGGCTCCGCTATGAGTCCGTTCTGCCTCCACGGTACAGCGGCAATGGCATGCAAAATTCTACACTCAATTGGTTTTGGCCAACTTAAAATTGATGCCTTTGTAAAGGAGCTGCCAATCAATTGCAAGCATCTCACGAGGTAGTCGTTATAATATCGGACACATCACTCCACCAACCAGGCAATAAAGCAGTACATGACCCACCCCTCATGATTCTAGGTCAACAGATCTGGAATTGGGAAGAACAATCTTCTTCCGTATCTTCCCCTCAAATTTTCTGGCTCATCTGCCTAGCACTCTTCTGCATTAAGAAGCAAAAGAAGGAGGTGTCTTTGTTTTTGTTATTGTTGTGAATAGGTGTTGTGGGGATTTGAGTACAACTTATAATAAAACTATGAACAACAGATCTGAACCCTGTTCTGTCCTGTGTCATCCACATCTCTCACACACTTAAGCCCATTGTTGCAGTCAGTCGGTCCACCCCATGAAGGGCCTTACATTCTTTTGCCGACCCTCCACCTCTCCAAGCAACATGTCCCTCTCCAAGTTAGTTGGTAAAAATATTTTTTAATAAAGATTGCTCAAAGAAGTACAAATTGTATCACTTTTCTTTTTAAGTTCAGTTCAAACTGTGCCAGGATCTGGGTCAACATGAGATTATGGATTATGGCCATTTTAGTGTGACAGGAGTAAGTATTTTGTTTTGTAAGAGAGGTAATTTTGTATTTCAGTCTCTTGATATCACTATTATTCAAAGTTTTCCTTCCTAAAAACTTCAGTTATTTGTGTAATTACCAGTTTCTCTTCACCGGCTTATAATCTAGAGCAATCAATATAAAGCCTTTTTTGTCTAGAACTAGAGTGTTCAGCTTTAAATATTTTTTAGTATTTAATTTTAATAATAATAGAAGGTAGTATGGCGCTTTCTCAAAAAGCTGCAAATAAAAATACCATTTGACCCAGCTAATCCACTACTAGGAATATACCTCAAAGAAACCATAACCACCACACCCAAGCAGATATATGCACACCCATACTTATAGCAGCTTTGTTCACAATAGCAAAGAGTTGGAAACAACCCAAGTGCCCATCAACAAACGAATGGATAGAGAAGCTCTGGTATATTCACACAATGGAATACTACACTGCATTGAAAATCAAATAACTTATGGAAAAATGGGTGACCCTGGAGGACATTATGCTGAGTGGAATATCTCAGTCACAAAAGGACAAATACTGCATAGTGCCACTGTTGTAAAATGGACTTTCATCAGGGTTGGAGGGATACTGAGAAAGAGGAAAGAAAATGATGAAAGAAATTATGTATACTGCATTGAAACAGATGAGGGAGAGAATTGCTTTAAAGGGATATATGTTTAGGTATTATCATCATGACAGGAGTCCAGAACGAAGGCTGCATAGTGGAGTGGAC